AGGCCTGGGCGTGGGCGTGGGGCTGCCGCAGACGAATCATGGACACTGACTCTACTCCTGGCACTGAGCAAAGGGCCTCGCCAGTATCCTGAACCCTCGGAGAACCTTTTCCTCTTACCGAGGGAAAGACTGAGCATGGAGTGGCTGAGTGAATTCTCCAAAACCACAGGGCCACTGAACGGCAGAGCCAGAAGGTGAGCCCTCACCCGATGCCGCGCTGCACCCGCTGCCTTCCCCGGCTGGGCTGCGGGAGAAGGTGAAACCCCTCCTCAACTATCTCCTTCACCCCCGTGAGACAGCCAGTACCTGCTGTCATCAGAAACTCAGTGCACGCACTAAAATGTGCTACTTTTCTTCCAAAACTAACGTGTCAACCGAAATTAATCTAACAGAAGAAATTATACAGAATAAAGACATCGAACACGCTCAGTGTTCTACCCCCGGTTTTTGATAACCAAAAAGTATGTTTGAACATTTAAGAAAAGTAATCATTAAACTAACTTGAGATTTCAGCATTAATACAAGCAACGTGGATGAGTCTCTGCTCGCTTCTGCTTCCTGCGTTGAGGAGTGCGCAGTCACCCATGAGTAAGTGCAAACCTGCCTGAGTAACTCGGCACCGCGCTCTCTGAGATGAGGAAAATCGGGCTCTTCCACTCTGAACTGCGCTCAGCTTCCCCCTGAATAGAGCTGTTCACGGACGACGGGAGGGGCGGCTCCGGGAGAGGGCTCCTTTGTCGGGCAGTGTGGGCGCTGATCTTACAGTGACAATGCCCTCCTTTGAAGAAATGCTCCCTGGGCCCTGAGCCCGAGGACTGGTGGACAGAGTGCAGTGTGACATGGCCATGCATCAGAGAATCACACTTTAAACCACATCTTAGCCTTGAAAATAATGTGAGGCAAGCCAAGTATAACGAGTCCCTGTACTTGAAAACAAAAAACCTGAAAACTAAGTGTGTCATAGATGCATAAGACATAAAGTCCTTTTCTAATGTTAAAATGCAGGTTAAACCATGATTTCATGCCTTAACTACAAATATCAAGAACTATGAGCAACGGTGCTTACAGCACACGTGGAAAACAGAAGAACAGCTCCTGGGTGACGTCAGAGGAATGTCCCGAGTGCCGGCAGAACAAGATGACGGTGCCTTAATCGCAGCACTAAGCAGACATGCAGATACAACAGCTTCCCAAAGACCGTGTCAGAAACCAAGCCGAAGTCCTCTCCAAACAACTGCATTTACTCAGACAGTTAAGTTGGTTAATTTCAACCACCAGATGTAAACATTACCTTCAAATACGTGCTCCGGACAAGGTCTCTAATACTCCCACCCAATCACAGTTACACTTAGCTTTTCCACAAACACACGACCAAGACTTGCTCAGCGAGTCACGCTGACGCCAACCGTCCACTCTGCCAGGGGCCACACATCCCTCCCTGGGCACGTAAGCGCGTCTGTGCACCCCAGCCATCACCTGTCTCCCCTTTCTCGACTTCTGCACACTCTGGCTGCTGCAGGACCCCATGAGACCTCACGGCCCAGCCGCCAGGGCCCCATCACACGAAGGCTGGTCCCGGAGTGCACAGGCAGCCTTCAGGGAAGAATGGCCTTCCCTCCACAGCAGGAGGAATGCGGGCTGAGCTCAGCTGCGAGAACTCTCCCCGGGGCATGAGGCGTGGACGGCCACGTCCGGTCAAACAATGGTGCCACACAGGAGGACGACATGGGGCAAGCCACACAGACAATCCCTGAACTGTCAGCCGCTACAGCAAAGCAGAGCAAAACAAAGGGCCGACTTCATTGCCCTGCAGCCCACAGGCGCTCGTCACCGCCACAGTGAGGGAGCGCTCGCTGAGCACTGCTCATTTTACAAACGAGTCACAGCGGCCACCACACATTTTGGTTGGTGTCACATGTTCTGTTCTATATGTCATTGATAGTCCTTTAAAAATAAGTAACTGATTTACACACAAGAGAAGAAACAGTAACATTAAGTAATTTTTTAAAGATTTGATCCAGATACGGTAAGATCATCACGAACTAAAACCAGATTTCAAAAACATAAGCCTGGTTTACAAACACAAAGGAAAAACTCCAGGACGCAGTGGCTACTGTAACCCCGCTCCCACCCCCGCAACTGGCCCCAGCCCACAAGGAAGAACCACCGCTGCACGGTCCCTTTCAGCCCAGTCCATTTAGGCTGTACCCAGCACTTCACATTTCAGAAAGTAAATTGCTGGAAAGGACTCGAGCCACTTACAAACCACCAGCCTGAGGGAAAGGAGGGGCTGGAGGAAGCAGGACCTACAGGCCCTCCCCGTCCATCCAGAGCCAGAGGCCGGGAGGACGCGGGGAGCGACCCCCACCCCCCGCCCCACCGGCCGAGTGTGTGTCTCACTCACTCAGTGTCGCCTGTTGACTTCTGCCGGTTCTGAATACTTCATACTTGATAAACGTAAGTCTCGAAGAGTCTGGGGAGGCCACGTAAAGTGTTACTGTGTCTTTTAAAAGGAGTTATGTTATTATAGTTTCTAAACTGGGGATTCACAAGGTCTTGGGATGTATTTCTTCCAAATGCCAAAGGCTTACTATACGAGAGCTACAGCCAATGCTGCAGGCCCAGCCTGGCCTCCGCCACCCAGGAGGCCGGCACGCCTGCGCTGAGGTGCGTGGGGAGCCCAGGCTGGGCGCGCATGCCAGCACTGCCACGGCCCACCCAGGACAGCACGCATCTGTGGGTCTGTCTCCTTTCACTGGTTTGTGATGGAGACTCAGGGGTGTCGGCTCCCTGACTTAAGGCAGCAAGGACCCTTACAAACCACCTAGTACAGCATTCCAGCCCCAATCTGGGCTCCTGTCTGGAGCTACTTCACGTGACTCCATGAGTCAGGAAGTCACTACCTCACAAGATGGCCTTTCCCAGGATCACACAGCTCAATTCTTCCCTCACTCCTACGGCAAGTCTTAGCTACTACCCCGCCCAGCTCCTGCCACCACCAAACACTTCATCTGTACAAAACAGGACTTTACAGGACAACGGGGGGCAGCAGACTCTATGGGAGACGTCAGCAGGCCCTCACTGCAGCGTGAACGCAGGGCACACAGGAGCGCTGGGCACAAAGCCGCACACCCCAGCCCCGCACCTGAGATGACGCCCAAGCGGAGACGTCAGACATCAGCACTGAAAAGCAATCTTGGCCAAGGCGGGAAGAAGCAAAGGGGACCACAAAGGATAAAAGGTGCCAGACCAGGCCTTGGGGTCAGCGCGGCTCTGGGTAAACCTCCGGGCCCCAGGCCCAGGCCCTCCCTGGGCGAGCATGCACAGGCTCCAGGCAACTCCAGGAGCCGAGGGGGCAGACGGGCACGAGCTTGCTCTGCAGCACAGGAAAAGCCTGTGGGAGTCAGCTACAGCATCTAATAAAAAATGCCCGTCTACTCTGTGCGTTCATTAAAACTGGTGGCTGCTACGCACTACATCGTGTCTGCAGTCTTTCAAAGACAAAGCTACCTCGCCTTACCGTGCTATTCCACACGAGTGGGAGCAAACAGCGTTCTATGTGCTGCTCCCTGTTTAGAGAGACTGACTGAAAAATAAAGCCACGTGCATCACTGAACACTAAGGCCGTGGGGACCTGTACCTTCCCAGAGAGACGTATTTAAGAAACCTCGTTCTCTCAAGGTGACTGAGGAAACTCCTCGCCCCCTAAAAGAGGTGACGAAAGACCGTTCACCCTCTCTGGAGGTGGGCATCCAGCTTCTACAGGAGAAGTGCTTTCTCTGGTCTCTACCAGGAAAGGTGTGCGTTCCCGTGAAAAGGTGCAGTTCATTTCCTCCAGGGTCAGATCCATCAAGCTTAGGCAGGTCACAGGCACGCTTCCTTTACTTACATGAGCCCATCACCCCTGACCACAGCTCTCCCAGGTGACGGGGTGCCTGTCTGCAGGCAGCGTGGTATGGTGGCCTTGCTGAGGCCTGGCGCCCCAAATGCTTCTGAATGTTCTTCCTAGTAGCCATGAACACCTCTTCAGGGCCAAGAGCTTCACTGGGCACCTTGAGGCTAACTGCTAACCCTCTGAGCGATACCACAAGGCCAAGGCCAGCGTCAGCAACCTCACTCACGGAGCTGCGACCGTGCAGGAGGATGGGGGCCTTCCTCCAGGCCAGCCCACCGACTGGGTGCTCAAACACTGCACGCAAAGCCCACACACCCCCCTCCACTCCACCACCGAAAGAAGGGCACTCCAATTATCCACAAGCACTTTGCACATCCAAAAGTAAACCTGGAGTGCTGCCTGGCACTGTGACACGACGGACACATACCACTGAGTGTTTGTCCAAACCCACAGCATGTGCCGAGTGAGCGCTGAATAAACCGCGGCCTTTGGATGACTGCGACACGTCAGCGCAGGTCGGTCCTTGGTAAAGAGGCACCACCTGGTGAGCAGTGCTGGTGCTAGGGGAGGCTTGCACGTGCGGGGCCAGGAGTCGTGCAAAGTCTCTCCCCCTCTCAATTCCACTGCAAATTTAAAACTGTTCTAAAATAATAGAGTCTTTAAAAAAAAGTCCAAAGGACTAAAGCAAACTATGTTTAAAGAATTAAACTATAAGAACAATGAGTCAGCTACAGCCTGGATTTGACTACAAAAATAATCAAATGGAAATTATGAATTAAAAGGTACAATAAATAAAGTGAAGAATTCACTAGAGGGGCTCAAAATCAGATTTGAGCTAGCAAAAGCAATAATCAGCAAACACAAAGAGATCAGTAGAGATTACTCTTTGGAACAGAAAGAAAAAGTGAGGGAAAATGAACAGCGCCTCAGAGACCCGTGGGACACCACCCTGCTCATCAGCACATGCCGGGTGGGAGTCCCAGGAGGAGAGGAGGAGACAGACGACGAATGCTCCCACCGACAGCGCACGTCACGAGGAATCACCTCCTAGGCCCAGCGCTCCTCTGGCTTACCCTGGCCACCGCACAGCAGCAGGAGGACACAGGCCCACCCCCATTCACCCGTCTCCTCACTGCCGCTTGATTTCAGTGTGTGCACCTCCACCCCGAACACCGTCCTAACTGCTCTCCACTGACCCCAGTGGGGACCCAAGTCTTTCACGTTAACTGTCTCCAGTAACATCAGCCCACACTGGTCTCACCTCCTGGAGAGCCTTCTTATCTCTCAGTGGGCTTAAAAATACCTATACTTCTACAGTTTTCTGTAAATGCAGAAATACACAAGGAGGTGTGAAAACATCTGTCACGTTATTTCATTTTGTTCTGTGTGTCGTGTTGCGTCCCATATTTTATGTCTCTGTCTTTATAACCGTGGGATTCAGGAAAGCTGAAACTGATTCCTGGCCTAATCACTGACCATTTTCTTCACTGCAAAACTTCCACAAACCATCTGCATGAGCTCTGCAAGCTGATGTCCATAACAACTGCAGTTCAGCCTGCGCTATCTACTAATACCGCCTACGCAAACAACGTGGATGTGATTTTAAAGCCAAGGTGTTTTCCCGTCATCCTGAATGAGTTGGCTGATTCAAAGAGAACAGCGCATGTGCCGTGTCCCCGTATGAGCAGAGTTAAAGAAGGAAACCTAAAAAGGTACTGGTTACATTTCAGTCAGAAGAGGATCACAGAACCTGTAATGCCGAGAAGAGCCCTCCGGGACTTCTACACAAGCACGGCCACCTAGGTCCACAAGACACCCAGCGGAAGCAGGAGCCGGGAGACCAGGCCAGAGCTGCTGGCACCGACTCGCACAGGGCCACCCTGTCTCCTCTGATACGATACTTGGACAGAGACCAACAGGAGACACGGAGGTCCGCCTCCAGAGCATCACTGTGGAGTAAGACTGCACTACTCACCCCCGGAGTCTTCCCCAGAAAGGAAACCAACGTCTCACGTAAGAAGTTTTCCTGCTGTGAAGCCCTGAAGAACCACCCACAGGACGCACTGTGCCTTTCTGTGGCTGCAGCAGAAAACCACACACACAACACATTTCACCCACTAAAAAGCCAAGGTGTTACAGCAGAGCCACGTCCCAGAGGAAGTGGAGGGCAGAGCTCAGCCAGGAATGGCAGGCGCCCCCACCTACCCAAGCCCTAGGGTTCGGACAGAGGACGTTGGAGTCCAGACCAGGAGCGTGGAGAGCTGCACAGAGAACGCGCAGAAACCAGAGCCAGACGGAGAGACGTGGATGAAGGAGCTGCCTGCGGAACAGAGGAGGCCAGGTTGCCGGGGCTCTGGGGCGGTGTGCTCGGAGACCAGGGGACAGAAAGGGGGGCTCACGCAGGGCAGAAGGGGCAGAGGGCCAGCCCACAAGGGAAGGTTCGGCCTTCCCCTCACTGCTGTCGCCCCAATGCCTGAAGCCAGCCCTGCAGAGTGCATGCCTAACAAACCCTCCGGGCCTGGGGGTAAATGCAGGTAAGCACAGGAAAACGCAGCAGAGACAGCTGAGCGCAGGAAATAAATGCTCCTGATGAGGGACCACCGCGGGGAAACACTCATCAGTTGCTGTTTTAGTTCAAAACCTCGAAGGTCTCGTGGATTCAGATTTACATCTCCTGATCAAGAAAATAAGAAAGACTAAGAGCGGGGAAAGAAATAACTACCTCTGTGCACACAGTCCACACCCACGCTCGCCCTGCAGGCTCATCGCACCGCGCGGCCGTCGCAGGGACATGAAATGGCATCCAAATCAGGGCCTGACTTCCAGTTTCCGGCACGTGCAACTGTCCAGGAACAACGGAGGACTGGCTGAGGTGTCAGACTTAATTCCACAGGCCTTCTGAGCTCACAAACGGCCCAGGTTTCAAAATGCAGCAAGTTTTAGGATTCCGAAACACCTGTCTTCACTGCGTGTGGCGCACAGACGCCCTCCTCCCAGCTGCACACTCTCTGCATGTGCGCACGTCAGTCCCAGGGAAGGCCGTGCTAATACACAAAACCAGCGAGGACCTGCACTGGTCTGGGGACCAGCAGTCCGCATCACCACGGGCAGGGGGGTCTCTGACGCACACGAGGTCCCTAAGTCACATCAGGCACGTTGTAAAATCACATTTTTGAAAACACGTAACCATGGGGAAACAGCCACAATACCAAGCTGGGCAACGAGAACAGAGTACAGCGCCACACCTTAACACAAAACACAGAGTACTACAAACACACACGGAGATCGGAAAGCAACACAGCAGACCGTTACCGGAGGGTCTATCTGTGTGGCAGACAACTGACGGTTGTTATATTCATCTTCCTACTCTAGGCAGTCCACCTATATTCTCCGTTGCTAATTTTTAGAGACATTCAAAAAATAAGTTATTCTATAAAAATGTTTTGCAATTACTCACCACATTATAATAGCTTTTGTTAATGGCAGTCGTATCAAATCCTTTGGGAGGGCTCTTCAAGGCTCCGGATTTGGGTGACACGGGCTTTTCTGAAATAAAGATGGAGGCAGTTTCACGGCTCCACCCTAGAGACGACCACCCGCAGCAGGCCGCACGCTGTCAGCTTCTGGTCCTCAGCGGCCCTCAGAGGGAGGCGGCACAGCCCCACCTCCTCCCCATCGCCGTCAGCTCCCTGCTTAGGCCGAACACCTCCGACAGATTCCACGGCACTGTTGTCAACAGAGCCAAGAACGTCACGGCGTGAGTGTCGTTTGTCATGTTGCTGCACAGGGACGCTCATTCCCACGTTCCACAAAGTTACAAGCCATCAGACCCCAGACCCCACTGTGTGTCATGCCGGGTCCCCACGTGCCTCAAAGCGCCAGTCTTACATTCTACACTCTCTCCGCCCAAAAGGTCTGTGCCTGGAAGGGACAGCACAGAGCACCACCCTGGGTGCTTTCTGAACCCTAACGCACAGGCGTGTGCACCACACCCCCTGCACACGTGTGCACGCACATACAGATGCACACGCCAAACCCACCCCACAGCGAAGAAGAGGCTGAGAGCACAGGCTCCTCCCAGCAGCACAAGCAAGGTGCTGTGCCACCTCGTGCCCTGCCTGCTCTCTCACAGCCAGTGAATACGGGCGTCCAGAATTCAGTCTGCACTCTGTGTCACTTCTCTATGTCAAAAATGAACAGAAAATACTGAAAAATGACAAACTCAGGAAGCGGCAGTGTGCGTGCTCATTAAGCACCTGTGGATCAGCAAGCGAGAGTCACTCAGCTCCGGCGTCACACTGCTGCCAGGGTGACGAGAGGCGCTGGAGGCCGTCAGTGCTGGGCCGGGCCTTCGTGACGAAACCGCCATAACATCCCAACAGCAGGGGCTTTCGAGAGCTTCCAGGTTGGTGACACACCTACGTGCCAGGAGGGTGGCATCCAAACTCCACAGGGACAGAAACCCCTACGCTCAGGACCCTTCTGGCCCTCACCCCGAGGGCCGCCAGTCTGGCTGGCTGCTTCCCAGGACCCTCCACCACGCCCTTCATTAAACACTAAACCAGGAAGCGTAGGCCGCACATCCTCCAAGCTCTGTGAGGCGTCGCAGCAAATCATCAAACCCCAGGAGAGGGTCGTGGGAGCCCCAGCTTACAGCCAGGCAGAAGCACAGGTGACCACCTGCGGCCTGCAGCGTACACAGTGGGGTCAGCCTGGGGACTGAGCCCTCAACCTCTGTGACCCTAACTCCACGTGGATGGCATCAGAACTGAATTGAACTGTGGACACCCAGCTGGTGTGAGCAAATTGCCTGAAGTGTGGGTTTTCCAAGGAAATGTGTTTCGGAAGGGTTCCCAGTGTGGTGGTAGTGTGGGAAGACAGGAGAGACAGAGGTCTGGGGTCTTCTTACCAGTGGCGTGACCATGTGGTGAAATACTATTCAGCCATAAAAATGAATGACGTTCTGACACACACTACAACGTGGATGAACCTGGAAGACACGCTGAGTGAAACAAGCCAGACACAAAGGGACAGATGATGCATGACTCCACTCACACCAGGTTCTCAGGAGCCAAATGCACTGAGACAGAAGGTTGAACAGGGCTGCCGGGGGCTCAGGGGAGACGGGAATTATCTGACGGGTAGAGTCTGGGAAGGTGAAGAAGTTATGAGATAGATGGTGGTGAGGTTTGCCCAACAATGTGAATGTTCTTAATGCCACTGAAATGCACACATAAAAATCATTTTTAAACGGTTAATATGATAAATTTTTTACCACAATTAAAAAAAGAAAGAACCGGCTTGTGCTATTCCTAAAAAAAAGTCCAACACTAGAAACCTTTATGAATCAGGGCTGCTGGCTGCCTTATTACAATACTCACTGTTCGAAGTCATTGCTAATAAAATACCTGTTCTATCAAAACTGTTCGGTTCACTTTTTAGAATCCTTTTTTGCTACCTTAAAAAAACAGCAGCAACTGTCACTCAGTGAGCCCCTGCTCGGTGCCACGCGGCCTGGCAAAGGCCAACAAACCTGAGCACACGCACCCCCAGACCCTGCAAGCAAGGCCCCGACCCTCATCCTAGACCTGAAGCACCTGCCGGGCGTCTGTCCACCCGGCCCTGCTCAGCACCACTCCCCGAGCACCACCGCCCCATGCAGAACTAGAGAAACTGCATCACGTGACAGCATTTCCAGTACAAGGCTCATCTCCCAAACCTCACCCCCGTCCCTTCTCTCCAGCCAGCCACGCTCTTCCCCTTTAAGTCACTGGTTTTGAAGCCTTATTCTGGCTTTACACCTCATCTGACCACCTACAACCAAGCTCTGTGAGAACACAAATTTTATATACATTTGCGTATATTACACACATACACAGACACACACAGGCACCTGTGAAGACAAGAACGACAGGATGGCACTCAACACTGGCAGTCCTGCCCCAGCCTCTCGTAGTTAGTGACCTGGCTCACGGAGGGAGTGGCAGCCGGTCGCACTCACGCTCAGGATGCGCAGCACCGCCCCCGAGGGAGGCCACGCAGAGCGGCGCGCACTCACTGAGACCCGTCACAGCCACACCCAGGTGACCTGCATCACAGATCCCAGGCCTTCGAGGTAAGTTTCAATTCCACAGCATGAATCACACCTAAGCAGAGACGGAAAAGTGCCAAGTCCCCCTACTCCCTTTCAAAACAAGGTACGCCCCTGAACAGGACTTTAAAGTCAACAAAATACTGTTGAGCAATTACAGAAAACATAAAGAACGTGACGCATTTTAAACCACTACTATCTGAGCAAAGGAGAGGACAGAAACCACTTAACTGCACCCGACTGGCAAGAGCCCAGGGTGAGAAGCGCAGCGCAGCCTGCGCGCAGCAGCAACCCCGAGTCCTGACACCAGCCCGGAGGAGGGTGATGCGTACCACCTTCCGTACCAGCGCAGCCCGAAAACTAGACCCCAGCATATCCCCGACTTCTCCTCAGGAAGGGAAAGCAACAGGGAGCGCGACGCTCTGAAACTGCTGATGTCACAACCGGATGACATGCAGGTCTGTGACCCCGGGGCCCTTCACCCCAGCACCCGCGTGGGGTGAACATCACTCCTTCGGGACAGAAAGCACAGGGGAGACTCTGCCCCTCAGCCCAGGGCCAGGCCCCGGGCCCAGTGGCGTGTCCTGGGCACGCCCACGGCTCTCCCGCCCCGCCGGCCACTTACCGCTGGACTTGACCTCGCGCACGTAGTTGCTGGGGAACCAGCCGGTCCTGCCGTTGTGCGTGCCCTCCCACCAGCCCCCCTCCTCCACTCGCGTGACGTGGATGACATCTCCTTTCGAGAAGGAGAGCTCGTCTTCATTCGTCTGCTGGAAGTTAAACTTGGCTCGTACTACCAGCTGACTGCTGCTGTTATCCGTCATGTCCTGAGAGGGGGGAAGGGAGAACAGTCCGTGAAGGATGTACAGCCTAGTCGGTATGATCAGATTAGACTCTACTACTTCAAATGCAGCATAGCTGCCCTGGTCACACAGCAGAGGAACAACTAGAGACATTCAGGTCCCCACCTCCCGCCGGGCACCCTGACCACCCCCACCCCAACTCCAGTCCCGGAGGAAACCCTCTTAATGGCTTGAGAGGTCTCATTCCTGCCACTGTTATGCCTACATAAATGCAGGCACTTTCACGGACATTTACACAGAATTACATGGTACACACTTCTCTGTAATTTGCAACAAGTTAAAATACTGTGATCATTTTTTTTCAGCAGGACTTAATTACCTGAGTCTCAACTAACTGCATAGCATTACACTGTACGGCAGTGCAGAGTTAACCAATGAGGCTGGTCCTAATATTTTCTATTGCAAAACAGGGCTGCATTAGAACTGCCTGCACATCTGTCTTCGAACACAGCAGTAAATAAATCAAACTGTTAAATTCAGATCAGAGAACAAAGGTAACTCACATGAAATTCACACTTATTCCTAAACTGCTCTCCAAAAAGGTCCTACAGACCCACACCAAGCCTCATTCCCGCGAGCGGCATCTAAGAGTTCTCACTGCCTCAAATACTCACCAACACTGGATACGGCCAAACATTCAAATTTTTCCTGAACTGACAGGTAAAAATGGTACTTCATTTTAATTTGCATCTTTCTCAGAGATTAAGCATAATTACAGAAAAGCAGGAAGAGAAAGGTAGACCGGCTAGAATTTTTTTTAACCTCCATCCACCCCCGACTGGAACTGCCAACAAGAATCAGCGAAAATCCCCAAGAAAAGCCTGCTCCCCTGGTCAGCGGGCAGGGAAGAGGCAGCAGGCAGGCTCACTCAACCGGTGACAACGGGTAAGCCGCTCATCCGGCACCGGGTGTCCAAGGGAACGGGGTCGGACGTGCTGTGCCCCATCAGGTGCCGGCGCTGCACCAGCACCAGGGACGTGGCAGGAATCCAGCGCCCACTCCCCAGGGGCAGCAGGCAGCACCCCCTGCCCATGCAGGGGAGAAGCAGGCCTGACATCGCCCCAATTCCCATCCAGAGGCGCTGTCAGGGCTCCAGCAGGAGCCCCAGTGACACCAGGTAAATGCGTCTGACCAGACAGCACTACAAGGAAACTAACCTGTCACTAGAACCACAGCCGCCCAACCCAGGCCAGCGCCGCTGCACAGAACAGTCAGGGCCACGGCTGCAGAGACATAGACTGAAGCAGGGCCCGGCTCCTCCTAACACCCTCTCCAAAGGGTTTAGGACACAACCGAAAACATTCCTCGTCCCAGAACAAGGAAGACAAGAGCCTGACCGAGAAAGGACCAGGGCACTAAGACCAAGACGAAGCTCTCTCAAAACAGACAACCCCAGAAATGAAACAGAACCTATAAAATGTACTCAAACCGACAGAGAGGAAAAACATGATGAGAGCCCCCTGGGCTCATGGAAGTGACAAAGATCTAAGGCTGGGGCCATCGAAGTCCTGGAGGAGGAAGAGGCCAGAGCTGAAAAGGAGTGTAGAAATAAGGCTGAAAAGTCCTCGATGCGACAAGAGGCGCAAACATACAGTTAGGAAGCTGACTGGACCCCAAACAGGATAAGCCTAAAGAAGTCTGGACTAAGCCACATCACAATTAAACTGCAGAAGGGCCAGAAACCCTTAGTATTTGGATTTAAAAAGACATCTGAGGATATGCAGGGTCTGAAAAACCTCACCTCCCCTGCACCCTTCCTCAAGAAGTTAGTAAAAGACGTACTCCTCCAAAACAGATGAATTAACCAAGAAAAAATGAAGACATAAGGCGGCAGAGGAAGTCACTCAAGTCACAGGGAGCCTGCGGGGCTGATGAAGGCACAGGTGCAGCTGGCGCAGCCTGGTGGCGACCAGCCCGCCCTCAAGCGGGCCGGGAGACTCGAGGGGGGCTCCCTAGGAGGAGGCAACTGTGAAGTCCTAACACGTCTCAACGGCCAAGAAGAGACTCTTTCAAAAAAGGCAAAAGACTGGGCCTGCAATCTGCAAACAGTGCACAGAAAACTCGACAGGCAACAGAATGTCATCAGAAAAGAACAGTCCCAGACACACGGTGGCTCCGTGGTGAGTCTGGGTCATAACAATGTTGTACCAACATCCACTCTACGAAGCCGGGCGGGGCTCAGCCACGGGGGCGGGGGGGCCCAGCTGCACTCAGCAGGTGAAGGCTGGGGCGTGGAAGAGCCCAGAGCCCCCTCTTTCCTGGGGGAAGTCCACAGTCATAACACGTCAAGTTAAAAAAAGGAAAAAAATCCAGCTTTACATAAGGCCTTCTCAGTAGAGACACAAAGACGATTACCTACAGAACCAACAGAAAAAAACGGGAAGTAGCCGACTCTGCTGACTCTTCCTGACAGCAGGTCTGGGAGGATCACCTGACTCTCAACCAGGTGCACGTGTCACTGAACAGGGACAGAAACAGACAAGGCACACAGCGCCGAGCAGAACTTCTGCGAGAGAAGCTGACGGAGCTCTGAGCACCTCATACACATCCATCTGCTTAAACCTGAGTTTGCACATGCTCTGCTGTGAGTCATGAATGTTTAACAATTCACATCAATACATTACAGACTTATGTGAAGAACTGTACATGTAACGCATACTTAATATTTAATACTGAGAATAGTCAGTAAAGAATCTCTCTGCAACACTTGGCCTGGATGCCGGGCTGACCGCCGTCCCCTCCCCCTCGGGTGGGACACACTCTCCCCCGTCTGGTCCGGAGGACGCGACTGGCTTAGAGGCCGCAAACTGCTGTCCCCATCTCCACCACACCATCCTCTCTGTGATGTATCCAGCTTTCGGTAAAACATGCGGCCACGAGCTGGTGCCAAAGTCCAGCAACAGAACACGACATACAACAACCAAACAGATGCGCAGCGCAGGCCTCTAGGGGTCAGGCCGGGCCACACGAGGGGATGCCACACAGGAGGTGCCCCACGTCCACCCCACTGTCATGGGTTAGGCCCACAGTGACACCTTCCTCCTTCAGAAAGGGACACTCCACAAAGGACAGGACAGGGAGGTGTCAGGGGTGGGGGCACAGAAGACAGGTGGCCAGTCCAGACCCTTCACTTCTGAACCCACAAACTCCCCACTCGGGAGGCGTGCTCTGGAGGCGCTGTCGGAAGGCGGGTGAGAGGACACCCCACTGGGCTCCCGCTTCCTCACCCGGCCCCCGCCGCCCTGCCGTCTCGGGCAGCTGGAAAGGCTGTATCTCATCACTGGCTTACCTTCATGGGGTCCTCCTCCCCTTTTTAAAGCCTCCGGGAAACTCTAGCTGGTCACCATCTGGGCTCAACATGACCCTTCCCAACCGTCTAAACCACAGCAGGCCGATCAAGAGCGGCCGCCGTCCTCGCTGTGAGGAAAGGACAGGGACGCGGCTGGAGCAGCAGCCGCCACACAGGCAGCGCCCGCCAGCCCCGGCTCCACCTGGGAGTGTCCCCTGTCAACTCAGGCAGGCCAGGCTCGGCCTGCGCAGACGCTGCTCCTCACTAAAGCTGAGACGGGAGGAAAGTGAAGGCAGAGAGGTGGCCCCGGGCAGGGAGCATAGCCCACGTCCTCTGGGAACGGGACCCTAACGGCCTCTTTCTCACCCTACAAAGTGGCACCCATTAGTGTCCTGCACCTGCAACGTACTCACACGCCTTCCTGTCCAGTGTTCTGACACTGTCTTGATAATCCCAACCCGGGGTGTCTCAGAGTGCTGCCCTCACACACTCCACCTCTCCTCTAGTCCCAAAAAGGGCTTATACTCGCATTTGCAGAACCAGGGAAACATTTTAAAGTACCCATCGCTCCAGATAAACAGACGTATATATCTTAGACTGTAACTCCCCAAATACACCAATTTCTCAGGAGCTGTCCTTAAGCGGGGCATGTGGAGAACATGAGTGAAGGCAGCAGGGCCACAGCGCCCTCTGCCGGCGACCCTCCACGGGTCCGAGCGCCCAGCACACAGGTCTGCACACGCTTGTGTCCCACACTCCGCTCTCAGCAGCAGGCTCTCGCTTACCAAGCTCCGGTACTGGCCCTGGAACAATTTTGAAGTCCGGCAGTGCGAAGGCTGGGATCCCAGGGAGTCGAAGGACTTTATCCGGTGAGATGAGGGCCGGGCACACACGGAGTCACTTCCCAGGCCAATGTCTGCAAAGGCGACAGAGGGAAGAGAGCGAGCTGAGCGCCTGACCCCCGCACCCTCACCGCACAAGGGCCCCGCATCCCATCCCGGCAGGGGAGCGGGAGCAGGTGCCATCCTGCACCCACTCAGGCACCGGCCCAGAAAGTAACCAGATGTGACTACGCACCTGTTCTTCTTCAGGGTAAGTTTCAAGTTTGTAAAGTGTTTGTAACCATTTTTAATACTTTCCCTTCACCTTGAGAAAGTAAGCCTCTCACACGCAACTGCTTAGCAGAGCACCACCCGGGACTCACCCCACCGCACGCGCACCCTCCGGGATTATACCTCAGACAACAAGCGGTGAGTGTGATTGTGCAAGAAAGGAAAAGACTGTCTTACTGAGAACAAACAGAAACCCCCTAGCATCCTCTGGCCAGAGAGGCCCTTCTGAGGAGGATCTCCTCGGCTGGGAGGCAACAACGCTTTCTTCCCCTCGCAAAGTGGCTGAGGGGACCAGCCCAGGTGGTACTAGGGGCTCAGCTCTCTCAGGAGTCCCTTCAGGACTGCACTCCCCACTCAGGCCAACCAGCACGACAATGTTAGCAACCCACTTTGCAGAGGTGACGCGAGACCTCAAAAAAGTTTTCCAGGGAAACCACTGCTGTGAGATGTACGAGGTTTAGAAAGCCCCTGCAGCTACACAGGGGCTTCCTCCTCCTCCCCCCGCTAAAACACCCTGCAACTGCTGGTCACCAGGTCCTATCTTTCCAGCAGATGCTTGGATTGGCTTAAGTGGTGTCTCATAAAACTCCAACTTAGTTACCAACAACTGCAAGTGTGAGGCCTTTACAGGGAAACCTAGGTTTCCAGCTGTCCCTCAAGCATGTAGGCTGGGGCACCACTGGGTCTGAGTCCCTGGACCGGCGGCCCAGTGCTGCGCAGGGTCACCCCCTGTTTGCCCCCCTCCTCCAGACTGCCTGCCGGGCCCACAGGCCCTGGAGTCTGGGAGCCCTGCCCTAAAAACCACCCTGACATCTCAGTCTTGAGTCTGTACCTTCAAAGGGTCCCTATGATTCTCAGGTCCCGCTCAGGGCTGGCAGTAATGCCACAGAGTGCTAGTGCTCCCTACAGAGGCCTGGGCAATCCCAAGCACAAACCAGCTCCCAGAGGGCATTTTGTGAAGACGCTGCCCCAGTGGCTGCCCGCCCGCCGTACCCAGGGGACACTTAACACGGGGGAGGTCTCTCCAGGACACCTCTTACTTCCCCAGCACCAATCTTCTTTCTGTCTCCACACACCAGGAGAACACACATGGTTTTCTTTAAGTGCCAGAGCAGAGGGAAGGTGACGACAGGCTTTTCTCAAGAAGGCTGCCAACGACCGTGGAAGCAGCAGGCGCACCTGTCTTATACCTGAGTCAGCCACGTAAAGCTGAGGTCTAATAAAGATACAGTCATCTCCATCGCACTGACTTCAAAAACAAAAATTAAGAGCCAGCAAACACAAAGGCAAAAACTTCTTTCCGTCTGAGAAGGCTGTCATTTTGTCTGAAGAGAAAAGTACCAAGTTTATTTCAGAACCCCCGACAGATCTCTGTACAGAACAGCGCTCCCCGTTCCACAGCCAGTGTGCATGCGATGCTGTCAAGAACACAGGAGAAACACCTCCATGTTAGGGGGTAAGAGCCACAGGAACAGGCACCCAGAGACGCGGCTCCCAGCCTTCACGTCCCCACTACTGACGTGTCACCTGCGGCCGCACCCTGACAGCCCTCCCAGCAGACAAATGGCGGGAGGGTCACTGCAGATGGTCCCGTGGCCCCGAGTGTCGTGGCTCTATTCCCTCCACACAGAGAGGTGAGTGCACCCATCTGAAGGGCCATGGTGTAAAACTAGGAGGGACCCCCTACAAGACAAACACAAGTTTCCTGATCAGGAGACTGTCAAGGTCCAACTCCCCCCATAAACCTGAAACTACAATCTGTAAAGGTAAATGGGAAAGCAAAGATGACTTTGAAACAAAAGAGCCACCAAGTCCTTCTGGACTCACACACTCTCCAGACCCAGTTTCTCCAGCCCGCAGCCAGTGTGGCCTCCCTGGGAGCATGTGCACAGACCCTGCTGTCCTCACCGCGGTCTGGGAGCCCACCAGAGGGCCGGCGCCCCCTCCTCCACTCACCCTCTCCACTGAGAGTGACGGGCCCAGAACCTGCAGACCACACAGCCCGGGTGCCCTGTCGCCCACAGGAAACCTGGCCCAGGCAGGAGTTAACCGTAGAGGCCAAAAAACTGGCCACACCTCAAAAACAGTCACTAGATCTGCTGACCAGATATGCTTCAATCAGCATTAACTTAATAAAAATCCAGAGCAAGGAGCTTCTAGGTCCAGGGCAGCCCATGAGAACGCCCACGTGGACAAGGCCTTCCTCCTCTGCTCTACTTGCAGGCAGAAAGTCTCCGCCCACAGGAAGGAAAACAGTCGATACCTACTTGGTATCTACCAGGACCTACAGAGGAAGACTAACAAGGAATAAATAATAAGAATACCACTGCAGCAGAAGAGACAGCCTAACATTAATGCAGTCCTTTTCCATTCAAGGACGCTCATTCTACCTCCTAACAGGAAAGCAAGTCTTTGCCCTTCAGTGGTCCCCTCCCGTCCAATTCAGTAAAAAGAGACTTACCTGCTGTTACTTTATTTAGAGTCACCAAGGAGCTGAGGACCTTGTTGAAATTCTGCCCCTGATACAAGTCGTTCGCATCAAACGTCTGAAAGGGAAAAGTGGACAAGCAGGATTAGCAGAGCCCCGTGAGGGGCAGGGGAGCCGGCGCCCCCGCAGCAGCAGCGAGGGGATATTTGCAGGCCGAGCAGGGGAGACCCTCGGGGCGCGGCACACCTGGGAGCCCGGCCTACGTGGGACAGGACGCCAGACCAGGCTCCCTCGTGGGGCCCTTTGATCCCAGGCCTGAGCCCAGTTTCCTAGCCACCTGCTCCTCACCCTGTGCCCACCACCACCCCCAGCCACAACCTGGGCGCTGCTGGTGCCCAGCAAAGCCTCCCTCCTTAGACTGAGGCCGAGGCCACAGGGCAGGCCTGCTGAGACCTCCTCTCCTCTCACAGCCGAGGCCAGGGCCAGCAACAGGAAGGGGAAGCGCAGACATCGGGGCACACGCTCAAGCAGAAGGAGGGGAAGGGCTCTGGGAGCAGGGCGGCAGTTCTGGGGGGACACCTCCATCCTCAGGGCAGAGAACTGAAGCCAGACCAGGACTGCCTGATCTGCATCTCCCACAATCTCAGCAACCAAGGGACAGGGGACATGACCAAGTCAGCCCCTGCCCACCGCCGGCCCTCCCCGCCCACCCCCAACCCCAGGAGCCGAACGAGATGCGCACCCAGCCTTGCAAAGCCAGTGCGGCCAGTGCACAACACATGTGCAAACACATCTCACTCCCAAACACCGACCACATACAGCTCTAAGCCCTGAACAAGCACCCCCAAACTCAGCATCAGATCACCCACAGCTCTGTGCCACACAAGTTATGGAAAATTCTTTCAAAGACGCGATTAACAGAAAGGTGTGTTTAGGTGACAAAACGTGAACTGTGTTAACATACGTCAAAGGTTCTGGCACAGGAACAAAAAGGAACTAAGTCATCCCAGGAGTGACTTCCTCTCTGGTCGCCCGCCGCCTCTCCTTCAACAGCAGCCCCTCCACCCCACATCCTGCCAGGAGCCCCGCTTCTCTGCTTCCTGCCCCCCACCCTTCTCATCTGACTGCGCCAGCCCCATGTCCCCCTAGGCTCGGCAGGGCCCAGCCAAGCCCCCAGCACACCAATCGCGACAACTTTACATCCCATGGGCACACGCCACCCTCGACTGAAATCTGTAAAAGCTGACCTCACAGCACATGACATCCAGCAACTGGCCGGTACAAGGTAACAGTGCAAATGTTTGCTGAACAGGTAAATAACACCCCACCCACCCACCAGCCACCCTGTGGTGCTGAACGTCCCTGAGAGGACAGTCACACAAAGAACAGCTACGAGGAGCCATCCCGGAGCTGAACAATGATTGCTGTCTTCCCAGAAGTCTCCAGGTAATAGTCTTCCGTCTTAACTTCCCAGATGAGTGAAAATCATCACCACATATGTTACTTAAACATGAACAAAAGAAAGTCCAGAAGTTGAAAAACCACCTCTAGGATGGAGGCCATGGGAGCCGAGCCGAGACAGCGTCCAGCACAGAGAAGGGAGAGAACCGGCTGGAGCCACAGCACAGACACCCGAGCGCCACAGCACATCGCGGGCGCACCTCATCTGGATGAAGCAAACCACAGCTCAGGTCACGACGCCAGACCCTGCCTGTAAGAGTAAGGAACCCTCAGGACAGTCTTTAGGATCACCCTGTAACACAGCTTGACGCATCTGCTCTGGTATCTGTTATTTTAAAAGAAATTCCAAGTCAAACGGGAGCGTTCATTGTCGAGGCTGACGTACCATCTACGTTTTTCAGTGGGTTGGCTGCAACTTTTATTAAAAGTATTACCCTGCATAGGCCTCAGCTCCCTTCTGCAAAATGCGGGAGCAGGTGATCTGTACACCTCCCAGCCCTCAAGCTCTAACTCGAGAGCTTGGAAAATTCACATCGTGGTACTGTGCAAAAAGAAACATACAGAAAGACACCGACTAACCTTCATTGTGGCGAGGCAGAGAGGCACAAAACCCAGAAAAACAGGATGCCGAGAACTGAAGTTTCCTGTTATTCCAGAACTATATATCTTTCTTACACGGATACCAGGAAGTGTCTGGTTGGCGGAGACGGTCCACCAATGGGCTCCAACGTGACGTCAGACCAAAGTGAGTTCACACACACGCCACCTTCCTAACAGGAAACTACACAATGAGATGAGGTGAACGCTTGTCACTGAGAGGAAAAGACACATGTTCTAAGTCAATAAAGTGTTTTAACTGAAGTTCTTCTCTAGACAAAGGTAACAGGCCACTTCTTGAAAAAGGAAGCTATTCGACACAAAGCAAAGCCAGAAGAATCTTCGCGTACAGAGAAAGCCTGCGCTCCGGGAGCAAGAGGAAATTCTCACCAACAGGCACATACCCGGGGGTCCCAGGGCCACAGCCTGCCTGCGGGGGCTGCCTGCGCTGAGGGCTAGGCTGCAAGGGGGCGGAGCCAGGTGCTGCTCCTACGTCCCCCTTCAGGTGGTTCTCAGGAGGGGCTGCAGTCAGGGCCTCCCAGGACATCAGGAACCAAGACGTTCAAGACACAGAACAGACCAACTGAATGCGAATTGCTGAGGAAGGGGCCCCAGATGAGAATGGGACGCTCACCAGGTGATTCCGGGCAGCCCAGGGTGAGGTGGGGAGAGGAGGACGGGTCACAACCCTCTCCCCGTGCAGTGAGGAGGGGACACAACACCCCACAGATCCTAGAACCGATCCAGTCAGAAGTGTACGACCGAATACTCACCGTCACTTTTGCACTTCAGTGAAATAAGGTGCAGCAGAATAACCCAAGAGTCTCAAAACAAGCCTACTGGTTTTCCACAGAAAAACAAAGCTCATAATATTAGACTCAGTAGCTACAGGTTTTTAAATATTTCACTTTCGGCAGAAACAACAATACATAATGAAATACAACCAACAGGAAACCAGGATGGAAGAGACCCAGGGTATTCAAGGTGAGACATGAAATACTTGGAGAGTCTCTACCGTGGCCCACGAGGGGAGAGGCTGGGCTGGGAAGGAGGCAGGCGGTCCTTCTGACCTGAAGCCTCCCCCTGCCCTCCCCCAGTGGCCAGGGCCTTACGCTACTTACTGAAGCCCTGGGGGCCTCCGGGGTCCCGCCCTTAAATGGGAACGAGGAGCAGGAAAGACTCGGAGGATGATGCAGGTGATGACATGAAGCAGCAACGGGCAAAGCCTCGCCAGTGACTGAGATCAAACTCTCAGTTCTGCACCGAGAACCCCGAGGCCTCCTGCGAAAGCTGGCCCACCCGCGACTACGTTCTGCCAAGGGAAACGCCTGTTCAACAAAATGCAAACAACCACAAAACAAAATCAGCTTCACGCATGGCTGGGTGCTCAGGACCAGAGAACACTTGAGAGACGGTGCAGAGAACGGGCTGCACGCCCACACACGCGGGCGCCCACCTGCACGGACAGCACCGCCGCCCCAGGTCGCACTCCAGCGGGAGCCCCTCCTCCGGCGCTGAGGCTCCCATGCTGGAAGCCGCTGCTCCTGACACAGACCCTGAGCCGCGCTCACCTTTTAGCACCCCGAGCCTGTGAGGGGGAACGCGCACACTGCCAGCCTGCACTCGGTCTGCTCCCCGCTCTACCTGCCGCCATCCCCGAACGCCACCCGGGTCAGGAACAGCTGTCACCCTGCGCTATCTGCAGACACAGAGCCATCCAAGGCCTTCTCACTGTTAAGTCTGAGAGAGGGGATCACAGCCATTGTTGACACAGCATACAATCACAGATCCACCCGGGGCCAGCCTGCAAAAGTGGGTGGCGGGGCACCATCAAGGGCAGTGCCTGAGGTGGGCAGCGCTGCCCCGAGGACCACCTGTGCCCTTCCCACAGGGCATCCTCAACGGGGGAGACGATCTCCTGGCAATGGGAGGGAAAGAAAATTAAACCTGAGGCTCTCTGTCCAGGGGTCCCACTGATCCCATTTGGAAGGGGCTTCTAGGAATCTGCCTACATAGCTGGGAACCACCCATCAGAGGTTCCCAGCCTGGCCTTCCTCCCCATCTGTTCTGCAGGGCCCAGAGAAACCAGGTCCTGAGAGCACCCAGCACCCTGACCACTGACCCCCAGGAAATAGTGCCCGTGACATCACTAGGAGGGCTAAACCTGTCAAATACCCAGAACCTGGCCCAAACTCAACCTCCCAGCCTTAACTTTTGCTAGTCCCCTAGAGATATCCTGTTTTGACATATTCCTTACCTATATTTAATATCACATTTAGTGTCAGGTTTAGTTACTGAACTAACACCTGAAAAAAGGAGGGCTCACCTGTACATGAGGAAGACAAGGCTGTCTGTCACATGTCAACTGTCACCAGCACCCCTCTTGGCAGGGCAATGCCATCAGGGTGACTTCATGTGCACATGGAGGAGCTCCCAAATGTGCAAGCTCTAGCCAGACAGAGGACGACTATGTTTTAGCAGAAAGAGCCACCATGGTTTTCAGGAAAGCATTAACTGCTAATTTGGTAAAATAAGGAGGTTTCGAAGGCACAAGACAAGAACAGATGCTGATCTACCCAGAATGTTCACTCTCATTATGCTGGTTTCCAACCTCCCTTGTCTAACTCCAAGACACTGCGACCTCCACTGCGACCCTGGGAGAGGGTGTGGGCCCCCACCCACTGCCACGCCTTCCCGCAGGTTCTGGCCAGTGAGGCGTGCGCACAAGGCACCAGATGCCGGAGGATGCTGCAGGCCAGCCCCCAGCAGGAGCTTTAGGGACCCCGAGTGTTCAGCCTGCCTCCCAGTCTTCTCCTTTAAATGAGAACGGCAAGGCCCGAACTGGAGCTGCTCCATCAGCCTGGATCCCAGAATACAGAGCACAGAGCAGAGCGACCCCACATCCGCAGCTAACACATGATGGCAGGGTAGACCTCGGTGCCATCAGCCCCGGACGTGGGGGGTGACCGGCCAACGGCATCTCTGGCATCTCTAGCACAAGCTGGCAGCACACCACGCCCACCCTGCCCCAGCAGAACTGGGCCTGAAGGGCAGACCACAGCTCCAGAAAAACATAGACACTGCC